TTCCTTTCGAACGTTTTTTTTTTTTTTTCCTCTTTTTAATATTTTCCTTCGGGCAACATTTAAAAAAAAAAAAAAATTACTTATCCGCGATATTTCAATACTAATAATAATAATAATAATAATAATAATAATAATAATAATAATAATAATAATAATAATAATAATAATAATGATAATAATAATCGAAAAAATTCAACCTAAAAACACTTTTACGAATACAAAAAAAAAAAAAATTTACTCGATTAATCAAAAAAAAAACCGCGATCGAACGTGGTTGCATCATTACTACTACCACTACCACTACCACTACTGCCACTACTACTACTGCTACCACTACCACTACTGCATGATCGCCATTTACATCATTTACAATAAAATAAACAACAATAAAAACCAAGAGAAAAAAAAAACCTGCTACTCAACGAGAGCATCTACTTCCACGAAAACTCATCTCGCAAATTCATTTCCCCCAAACCTCCTTCCGCTCCCCCGCCAAAAAAAGAAAAAAAATTAATGAAAACACGCAACGAGAGCGAGCCCGTTTTTGGTTAATACCAGACGAGATTAACGTTTAAATAAAATTTTCAACGGTTAATTTTTTTTCTCGACGAAATAATAATAATAATAATAATAATAATCGATTTATTATTATTATCATTATTATTACATTCGTACTCGTTTCGTTTCTGCCACGTTTTTTCCACACAATTCTTCCTACGTTAATCGATTAACGAGAAAAATTAAAATAATTTCTTGGTCGGAGAATTGGACCAAACGAAACTTCTCTCTCTCTCTCTCTCTCTCTCTCTCTCTCTCTCTCTCTCTCACGTTGGTTTTTCCTCCTTCAATTTAAAATTCGCGCCTTGCGTTTTTCAATCGTCGCCATTTTGAAAATTTGCAATTCTCTTAGTACTTAATATCAAAAGTTTCCCTGATTCGATCTGATCTTTTTTTTTTTTTGTCAAATCTAACTACAGAATCTTTCTCTTTCCCTTTCTCTCTCTCTCTCTCTGTCTTTCTCACTTCTTCTTGATTAAAATACCTCATTTACATTTTTCGATTAATTATTTATGAGAGAGAGAGAAAACATTTCGGATGAAATTTACAAATTTTTTTTTTTTTTTTGAAATTGCGCGATCGGCCGGAGACCGATAACCGCGTTTCATCATCATCATCATCATCATCATCATCATTATTATTATTACTTTCTCAGTATCGCTAATGTTAATATGTAAATCCATACATACATAAATAAAACATTAAAAGAAATTAATTTAAAATCCTTGACAAAATGGAATAATAATTACCGAGAAGGTTTTTCATCCATCCATAATTAAACAAAGTATTTTCCATATGCAAAACCTGACCTCGAACCTATATAGGTATATCAAAAAATAATAATAATAATAATAATAAAAGAAAGAAAAAGAAAAAAAATTTTTTTTAAACGATCGAAAACGACGAGATGATAAACGTCGCACCAATTTATTCGACGCCATTTTCATAACAACGACGACGACGACGACGATGATGATGATGATAAAAAAAAAATTACAGAGTCCCCCCATTTTTTTCTTTTTAAATCGAATTGCTTTCCGACATCAATTGTCGCGTTTAATTTTTTTATATCAAGATTTATTTCCTTCGGAGTTTGCTACGATTGCAAAACATTTGACTACAACCACGACGACGACGACAATATTGAAAAGAAATATTATTTTCCGAGAAAAATGAATGAATGCGTGTGTGCGACGATGACAACAACGTTGGGCAAATGAACGAGAGTGAGAGAGAGAGAGAGAGAATAACATTAACCAACAGCAAGAAAAAAAAGCGGAAACGAACGAGGCACGAGGTTTTTTTTTTTAAAAATAATGATTAAAAAACAAACCGGAAATAAAAATATTATTTAAGAGTAAAAAAAAAAAAAAAAAAAAAAACGTTCCCGAACGTGGTAAGAGAATTTCAAAAGTCGTAACGTCAGACATTTTTTTGAATGTAACTAAAAATAGTTAAAGCCACGACGAAATAAAAATTTTTAAATAAATCCTTGAGTTTAGAGAAAAATTTATTACTCTGGTGGTAATTGCATTTTTTATTATTATTATTATCATCATTATTATTATTATTATGAGAGAATACGACGGGAATGACGTAAATAATATTAATAAGACGGTACGAATAATAATAATAATAATAATAAATAAAATATCTATCATACTCTAAAAATAAAAATTACGATTTAAAATTTTAAAAATGAATTTGCAATTTTTTTTTTCCATTTTCACTTTTTTTTTTTTTTTAAAAATTCGAAACCGGAAAAGGAAAAGAAAAGCTCTCTAATGACGTCACAACTCGAGAACGTTGATAAAATCACCGTGACGCGTAAAATTAAATTTAAAAAAAAAAAAAAAAAAAAAACGCAACGACATAAATCCATCGTTAATTTTCATCGACGGATTGGAAAATTCGCGAAGGGGGGAGTGGGAGGGAAAAAGATACAAATAATAATAACAACAACAACAGCAAGCAACAGCTGATCAAAAAGAAAATCTTTAAAAAATAAAAGTAAAAAAATAAAATAAAAAAAATATACCGCAAGTGTCATTTTTCAATCCTTTAACCAATCGAATATACGTCGAAGTAGAAAAAAGGGAAAAAAATTATTATTATTATTTTTTTTTTCGGTTCACTTATTTTGTAAGCACAAATGAAAACTTTTTTCCTTTTTTCCAATTAAATTTGTACGTGAACACGCGTTACACGCACATACGCACACGCGTTCAACACAAACACCATAACAACACTAACTACACGAACGAACGGCAGACGTCCAACTACTAATCATAGTGAATTTAATTTACGACTCAACATGGAAGAAATAAAAAAAAAAAAAAAAAAAAAAACTAGAAAACAATTGACAGAACGTGTGTGCACGGATACAAAAAAAAAAAAAAAAAAAAAAAAATGGAAAATTTTTAAAAAAGAACTTGACAAGTTCGTTCGAAACCGTTTCGGATATAGTCATCTTACAAAACAAAAACGGTGGCAACCCTCAAAAAAGCTAAACATAAAAATAACGTTGGTGTCTAGCGCTACGACGGAATCTTGTACCACGACCCGCGATGTACGCTCATGAATTCAAGATTTGAATTATAAGATTGAGACGTTACCCACGTACTTTTTTACTTATTTCTCTCTCTCTCTCTCTCTCTCTCTCTCTCTCTCTCTCTCTCTCTCTCTCTCACTTTTTCTCACACTTTTCCTTGGAATGAATTTTCGTGTTTTTTTCTAAACGATTCCGCACCCGAAAGAGAGAAAAAGAAAGAGAGAGAGACAGAGAGAAAAATGGCGAAACATCAAAACGCACAAACAGTATCGCGTATGCGTGCGTGCGTGCGTGTGTGTGTGCGTTTGTGTTTGTTTAAATACGCGATTGATATCTTAGTTGTGTAAATTTGTTTTAAAAGAATTCTTTGGAGAACGACGACAACAACAACAACAACAACAACGAGAACAAAACAAACAAATAAAAATGAACGTATTCGATGGCATTGACCTGAAACTCACCGACAATGCAGCACGTTTTATTATAATTTGACAATAATTTATAACAATTATTTCGGGTTCGAATCGAACGAAGGTTCAAGAGGTACGACGATGATGACGTTTTTACGACAACATAACCGAAATGTCACCATCAACGTTTAAATACCTTCTCCATCAACACACAACAACAAAAACATAATCTCAAAAACATTCAACATCGAATACAATCGTGTTGCGATATGTCCAAAACGTCCACTTTCGAAAAACAAACGCAACAAATAACGAAATACAAAAAGAAGTGATGGATGACGAAAATAAATAATAACAAACGCGCGCCTAATAAGTCGGTAATAACAAAACATTTATAACTGTTATGAGAGAACCTAAAAAAAAAAAAAACTTTCTTTTATTTAATCACACGAATTGATAATTACACGATTTATGGATCGCATACATACATAGATACCAATTATTAACTCCGTCAAATCGAAAAATTAAAAAAAAAAAAAAAAAAAAAAATTCGCACGCGCGTTTATCTCTCTCTCTCTCTCTTTTGCGAAACAAACAATAATAATAATAATAATTACGCACGCGTTTGTTGTTCGCATTAATAAATTACGACGACACAACCTATAAAATCCAACACAAAAACAATGGTTTACATTTTTTTAACGTGTGAATTTTTGCGTAAATGTTATTAAATCATCCATTCACGTAGTACAAAAAAAAGAAGATGGCGTCGTCAATAAAAACAAACAAACAAAATTCTCGTATAGTGTGATATATGCGCCGCCAACAACAACAACAACAACATTTGTCACACACACAAACAAATCGTAAAAAAATCAAACGAAAATTTAAAAAAAAAAAAAAAGTAAATTAATAATTAATTGTCACACGAATGACAAAGTCCATTATCGCGGAGAGAGGGGGGGAATAGAGGGGGGATAGACGTCGGTACAAACGAAATCTAAGATAAAATAAAATTTTTTTTTTTTTCGAAGACAAACAAAAACAAACAAACAAACAAACAAACAAACTTCTTCGATAAATTCAATATCGTTCGAATATCGTATCAAATACTATCGATTTCATTCAACATGCTCGTATGTTTATACATACGGGAGGAGGAAGAAAGGGGGAGGGGGCGGGAAACGAAAAAAAGGTGAACCGGGTTTTGCACAATTGGAAAAAACCTTCGATATCACACAAAGCCATCGTAAAAGGGAATTTAAAATTAATATTGAGAAAAAGACAGAAGACAGAAAAAGAGAGAAAGCAATTTTTTTTTTTTTTCTTTTTTTTTTTTGGAATTCCAAAAACGATATATCGAACTTGATCCAGGACTCGCGATTATATCGATTTTACCTGGTTCACTTAATAAAAAATTATTATTATTATAATATTTTCTCTCTCTCTCTCTCTGTTTTCTTTTTTCTTTTTTTATAATGTCAAGGGTAAGTGAAAATCAAATTCACGCAAGGCTAAACGGTGCATAATAATAATAATAATAAATATTAATTCCAGTTAATGCCAAATGAAAAAAAAGAAAAAATACGTCATAGTCGTTCGTGGATTTAGGCGCGAGGTTTTTTTCGAATTTAAATTATTTTAGAGAGAGAGAGAGAGAGAAAAACCCCGAGAACGACATGATTCCATTTGCTACAATCTTTCTCTCTCTCTCTCTCTCTCATTCAATTCGTGTTTAAAACCTTTAGACGACTTACCCTTCCGACGATATCCGCAATACTTGACGATAATTTCAAAACTTTGCTATCCACGTGTACTTCCGCGGGTACTTTTAACTCGAGAGAACAATCTCCGGGTATCCAAGAGTCCGCGGACACTCTTATCCTACGTCCTTTATCATCGCAAAATAATTTTTTTATCGTTCCCTCGCGTGAAAGTGATTTTCTAGATACTCCGCACAACATTATTTCCCGTGCACGTATTTTTCCTTTTAGTTTCGTTTCGTTTTTTTTTTTTTTTTTTTTTTTTTTTTCAATACCTTGAGAGCTCGACCTCAAATCATCATCGGTAAAAACAACACAAAACCGAAAACGAAACAATAAAGCAATCACAAATTATTATTCATGTACGTTACATGTATGTAAATACGAAAACAAAAACAACGACAACAACAACAACAACAACAATACAAAAACGAAAAAAAAGAAAAACTCTTTGTGAGAACGAATTTGCCACTTTTTTAACAGACGCACCTACAAAAACGAAAAAAAAAAAAAGAAAAGAAAAGAAAAAACCTCGTTCGTTTGTCCTAGTATGCTGGTGCTCTGCAACTGAATTAAAAGACCTGAAAATAATTTTAAATTAACTTTTCGATACTTTGTAAAGACCTCCCCGCCACACGTTTACCCATACTCGTAATAATATCATCTAACGCGTCCGTGATCTAATCTGCAAGGTGTGCGCTACAAACCGTACCTTCCAGGTATTTAAAAAAAAAAAAAAAAAAAAGCCGCACGATTACTAAGTCGCAACAATGCTCGAAGGTTTTGTATTTAATATAAAATAATAAAAAAAATTTTTTTTTTTTTTTTTTTTTTTTAATGACCTCCATATTTTTCTTTTTTTTCTTTTTCTCTCCTACAATTCGTGATTGTTCTAAACGTTATTTTTCTCACTGCAATGTCGCAATTTTTTCCTTTTCATCGGGGAAAAACAATACGACGCCATGTTGAAGAAAAAAAATCAAACGAAAGGAAAACAAATAAGAAAAAAAACGAGGAACTTTCGAAATTTCTCGAATCCCGGAGGCTCCGATCGATGGTATACGGTAAAAAATATATTGAAACCGAAATACAACTCGGGGGAAATGCGAGAGGCGGAAGGGGGAGGGAGGAGGAGGAGAGGGGGAGAGGGAGGGAAAAAAAACAAAGTCTGGAAATAAAAATCCTTCCGGTTCTTCATAAACATCTGCTCGAAACATTTAAAAAAAAAAAAAAAAAAAGATTCCATCCAACATGCTTTCATCCCCCCCCTCTCTCTCTCTCTCTCTCTCGCTCTTTAAGAAAAAACAGAAGGAGGCAGGTGGTACCTGAAGATTTGATATGACTGGTCACACGTGCTCTTCTACCACATCGAGTACCATCTGCTCCGTTACCATCTTTTACGACATGAATACGCTTTAATTATCCATTAGATAATCGTAGACGGAAAAAAAAAAAAAAAAAATACGTAAACCACCCTCTCTCTCTCGCTCCCTCCCCCTCCCTCGCCATTTTTTTTTTTTAAATCAATACAAAAAAAAATTGATTTCTTCGTTTGCAATTTTCGATTAATTAAAATTCAAAACGCTTCGTTTTTCATTTTTCATTTTTTTGGAAGAACCAAAAAAAAAAAAAAAAAAAAAAAACTAATATGCCAGGTTTTTATTAAACAGATAAAAATCCAATTTTCAATCTGGGACCGGTCCCCCAATGACGGGGGCCAAAAAAAAAAAAAAAAAAAAAAAAAAAAAAAAAAAATTTTTATCGACGTTTGAATTTGAATTTTAAAAACGTAAAAAAAAATTAATAAATAAAAAAATATGTAATTTTTTTTTTTAAACTAAACTTTGGGAAAATCTAAGGTTAATAAACTCTGAGGAAGATAACAAAAAAAAAAATGACCCTCCCCGTAGAGAAACCCCCCCCTCTCTCCCTTCCAGACGAAAAAAAAAAACCGCTGGAAAATTTTTCGCTTTGCAATTTTCTTTATATCTCTATTGTGCCAAAAAAAAAAAAAAAAAAAAAATTTATTATCTACAACCCTCGTCTCGACAGTTTTTTTAAATTTATGAACTTTTACAACATCATCATCATTATCATTATCATTATTATTATTTCGAAAGCTCTGCGTTATTTCGAATGAACGTACAAAAATGTGTATTAAAAAATGATAATCGTCTCTTTGCTAGAAAATGTGGGAGTGACTCAAAGTTAAATTAAATAGTAAATCCAAGGTTCGATGACTGGGAAAAGGGAGAGACAGAGAGGAAGAGAGAGAAAGAGAGAGAGAGAGAGAGAGACAAGGAGAGTTATTATTTCAAACGGATATAAAAAAAAAGGCGTGATCCCCCTCCCTTACGATCTTCCCACATTATCAATCGTGATTCGATCGACCTACCGACCCACAGCCTAAAATTTCCCAAAAAAAATTCTTTCTTCCAACGCGTTTTCATCTCCTGCTGGAATTCGGAACGTGAACGTACATCCCGTCTGCAAACGTCGACGTGTCCCCCCAATCCCCCCAATCAATCCATTAAAAACGATAATTAATTTGAAACGGAATTTTTAGTTTAACAACAAAAAAAAAAAAAAAAACGAGGCTAACGTTCGTAGATTTCTTCTCCCAGACAATCGACAACAATTCGCGTCTTCGATATTTTCGGCCCACCGCACCCCCCCCCACCGCATCCAACCCGACTCGTCTTTCGTTTCGCAACCCACAATGTTTCGTCAATTAATTTAAATAATTAATTATTATTATTATAATAAAATAAAAATCCTCGTTTCGTTTCGTAAAACGATTTAAATTTTCCAAAAAATCGAAGAATAAACGCCAGGTTTGCTTTTTTTTAAACACACAGTGACAGCCACCTGTACACTTTGTGGCATCTTTCGATAACCGAGCACCAGCAGGAACCCAAACCCCCTCTTTACCATGAGGTTATAATAAAGTCATTAATAATAATAATGATAATTTTTTTACTTCGACCCGATCGGTAGGCTTCACAAAAAACATCTGCTTCTCGGAGGTAGGCAAAATTTATTTACGCATTTTCCAAAAAAAAAAACAAACAATCGGTGGGGAGAGAGGGGCTCCGGGGGACTCCGCGTGAGTTGTCAAAAAATTAAATAAATAATAAACCAAAACGGATGTGACATTAATGACCACGTTTCTATTTAACGAGAGAAAGAGACATAGAGAGAGAGAGAGAGAGAGATGGAAAATTTTAAATAAAAATTAAGTAATTATCATTATTAAGACTCGTGAACGCGTGACGTTCCCCCCTCAATCACGGGTATAATTTACAAAAATTTCAAAAAAAAATCATCCCCTTCGCATAATAAAAACCCATAATTACCCCTAAATGAAAATGAGGTAGGACTGAAGAAGAAGAAAATTAGAAAAAAAAAGTTTCCAAGGGTATGTTTTCAATAATAATAACCATACGGAGCCATTAATCATTTTCCATATTGGCTAACGATGTTTCGTAATAATAATAATAATAATAATAATAATAATAATAATAATAATAATAATAATAATAATAATAATAATAATAAATAATAAAAACTCGTTAAATTAAGTTACAAGTTTTTGAAAGACAAAATAAAAATCTCGATAAACAAACGAGAAATGAAAAAAATAAAAATAAAAAATAAAAAATAAAAATAAAATTAAACAACGACAACAACAAAAACGACAATAATAATAATAATAAACGAGACGACGAAATCGGAAACGGAAATGAAAATAAAAATTTGGGGACGTATCCCTAAGTCTTCTTCTTCTTCTCCTTGTTTAGAAAAAACATCTTCATTTCCAAAATGAAAAAAAAAAAAAAAAAAAGATTTTTCTACCAAAGATGACGACTCGTCATGATGACTCATACTCGACTCCCCGGTTATTATATAGAAAAAAGATGAAAAGAACCCAAAAATATTTCACAAGTTTTTATTGATACGTTTTCATCATCCCCATCGATTGGGATTTACGGTCACACATTCGGTCCTTCATTCTCAAACCGGAAATGGGAGAGAGAGAGAGAGATGAAAAAAAAAAATTTCTCGAACGAATATTTAGAGGGTGAAAAAGTCTCGAAAGTTTTGAAACTTTTTTCTTTTTAACATCCTTTTGTGATTTATCACGTCAAACACTATCTCTCGTGATCTTTTGGAGGTAAAAAAAAAAAAAAAACTTTCTCTCTCTTTTTTAAATTGTGCACAAAAAAATTGTTACGGAGGTCATCATCATCATCATCATCGTTCGCTTTTTTTTTTTTTTTTTTTGGCGCAAAAACTTTTCCTCGAATTTCGATAGAAAGAACAAAAAAAAAAAAAAAAAAAAAAAAAGTTACAAACAAATCACGATTCAATTATCACGATTCATGCCAAATCGATTGATATTCTTATCGGGAAAATTCAACCTGGTTTATTATTATTATTACTACTATTATTACTATTATCTACGCGGTTGAATCATCGCAGTGGAGATTATTATTATTATTATTATTATTCAATAAGAGAAAACAATAACTTTTGCAAATATAACGTAATTTTTAATGGTGTCACCAACCCCGAAAACCTAAAAAATTCATTAGAGATTATAAAATTCGTACAATTTAATTAACCAACCAACCAACCAACAAACAAACAAACAAACAAACGAACGAACGAACAAACAAACGAACGAACGAACAAACGAACAAACAAACAAACGAATCGGCCAGAAGACAATTTACAAAAAAAAAAAAAAAAAACGTGTCAAGGTTCGCAACTTTTTTCTCCTTTCCTTTCCTTTTCTTTCCTTTCGACTTTTATAACCCGTCGGTGTAAAAAAGGAAAATTCTAGAAATTCGAATTTGCAAAAAGAAAAAGGACACAATGCGAAGATTTTCATACAATTCATTGAAACCTTTTCGAACAGGTGCAACCGAATTTTTTTTTTCCATTTTTTTTTTCTGCTCTTTTAATAATAATATACAATCAATTTATAAATCAATAAAATCACGATTTGACACATAACATTAAATAAATAAATAAATAAATAAAAATAATAAAAAAATCAACGACGATAAACTTAACAAATAAGGGTGGTGTGCAAATCGTAAATTTCGAATCGGGGGAAAAAAAAAAAAAGGAAAAAAGGAAAAAAAAGAAACAAGAATGAAATCGACGAATTGTAAAAATCGATTCTTTTCACAATT